GCAAGCTCGGCGGCTGGGAAACCAGCTGCAACCAAGGCGCGCCCTCCACCGCTTCCGGTGCCAGCGAAGCCCAGGGCTCCGCCCCTTGGCGCTCCTGGCACTGCCTTGCTACCACCTCCGACGCCCGCCAGGGGCATCCTGGCGCCCCAGGCGGCTGCAAACTGCGACGCGACGCGGACGTGCCTCCGCGACCAGACCGTCGCGTTGGAGCAAGCGCTACCCGAGGGGCAACGGTATTCAGTTGCCTCGGCCAGGGTCGATCCCAATGCGCGAGACCTTGTGCATCGGGGGCCGCTGCAAGACTTAACGTCTATCCTGCGGCACAACCCGAGGTACGCGGGACGCGTGGACGCTGCTGTACTATTTGGCGACATCATAGATGAATACGCCCATCGCTACTCAACCCGTGGAGGGTGCACCCTGACTGCTTTGAGCATTGGTGGTTGAAGGAGGGGCAGAAGGTCAAGAACAATGGTTCGCCTTATACAGGCCCCATCAGCTTCAGACGGAAGCCCAAAGATCCCGCTGCGACTAGCGCACGCCGTGGATCGGCGGCGCGGCAGACCTGCTGCAGCTTGCTCTGGCCACATTCCGTGGAAGCCCTTCCCGAGGCTGGAGGCTTTCCCTGCGGGGGGGGGGCCCTTTGCGGGCCTCCAGCGAAAAAGGCTGCTATTGTGCTTGGCAAACCGTCGGTGCCTGACCGCTCGGTCAAGTCCGCGGTATCACATCGCGAGGTCTACGTTACTGAAGGGAGATCGTGCGTGGCGCTAACCAGCTGCTCGCCGACTACAGTAATGCGATGGTGGTTGAGCACAGGGCAGCCGTGGCGTCAGCGCCACAAGACCATCTGGAGCAAATCCATGCTCTTTTGGCACCACCGGCAGATCACGCGGTTATCCTTCCTGTGGCGTCTCGGGCGCAGCATGGATCGCGGCCGCCGACGTTCGGGGGGGGCCCGTTCGTCAGGGCCTCGCCCAAAACGAGCGGCGTCGACGAAGAGAGCGCCCAGATGTCACCTGGGACGCAACAGGCCTGTCGCGTCTACTGTTAGTCCCGGGCGGGCGGCCCATGTGCATTGTCCACGTGCGCGAAAAGGATCTCGATTGGTTGCGAACATTCCTACGCCGGGAGTCTTCGCTCAATGCCGCCAGGTGGGCAGGCGAGATTGCGCGCGTGCGCGACTTTGTTTGCTAATGGATCGGGCCCAACGCGGCGCCGGGGGCAGTTAGTGGGAATAGCGCCATCACTGATATTTCCAACTACATGGTACATAGCAACAGGGCGCCCCTTTGTCGCGAAGTGATGGGCCGTTTGATGGAGTGGGCGACCCACATCGCGGCGGGGAAGCTCGCTGCAGAACAGCCCGTAATGGGCGCGGCTGCGCGGCCACCAGTGCCCCAGGCACTGGCCGAGAACACCATCGCCGACGCAGATGGGACTGGTCTGCGCCCGAGTCAGGATCTCACGCCAGCTCCTCCCGCAGACGCCGAAGTCCCATGGCCTCATGATGTTGAAGGTGCAACAATCATGGATCTCTCAATTGCCGACGTGGTGGCAGGAGACGACTACGACATCATCAAATAAGTCACGAAACGCTACGTTGCGTCGTCGGTAAACAAGCGCAGGCAAACTGTCGCGGCGGAGAGATCTGCTGCAATCCCCGAGGACGAAATCGTCGAGGACAAGCCAGAGGCTTGTCCGGCCGAGTTCGTTCAGCAAACAGAAATCGCGCTCGCAAAGCTCATCCTCGAGAACATGCCTGCCTCAAGCGCTGACCTCGCGCGCTGCGATGCCCGCGCGGGGCTTTCTGCTGAGGCGCTTCGTGGAGTCACGATCGGAGATGCGCGGAGAGCGCGATCTCAACCTCCGAAGCGAGCAGGAGGCAAACGTGGGGCGCGCGCTAGGAGCGAGGAGAAGTATGATAAGCCCAGCAGGTCGCCGAGAGGCGAGCGCGACTTCACCCTCGGGCAACTCTCCAGGCCCACCAAGTGGGGCATGAGCATGTCTGAAGCCTTTTCAAACTGGTTGGCGAGGGCGCGCCCGCGGCGGGGGAACCTGCTGCAGAGCCCATGGCGGCGGAGAAATCCGCTGCAGCCAGTTATTCGTTTCGCCCAGCTGCGCCAGAGTCCGATTGGGGGAACGTGATTGTAGGCGAGCGAATTGCCGAATGGCAAGGCGCGGCAAGAGCAAAGGCGACGAAGATGCTAAGCCGCTCTTCCCGAAGGGGGCAGCTCGGTCTTCATTCCTCGATAACGTTGGGTCCCTTGAATTCGGTGAAGGCGGCGAGAAGGCAGCCCTTGCGGTGTTGCAGGGTGCTGCTCAGAACGACGTGGTCAATCTGTGCAAAAACTGGAGCACCGCGCTGCCGCGCGCTGTCTTCGATCGCATAGTGCGGCATGCCCGGCGTGCTTCTTCCCATGCGCGCAGCAGAACGCTGGGTTCTTCGTGGTGACTGGTCGGATCCAGCAAACGCGCAGGGGCCTGGTCAAAGCTTGCTAGAAACTCAAGGAGGGTTTCCAATCCCTCGTTCGTCCGTGGGATACGGACGATGTATTCCGCAAGAACGCGACGGAAGCCCGCTGGGGCGCGCGCAAGGACATTATGCGCAGACGGCTATGGCGTCAGTACATGGGCCAGGAAGACCTGCGGGCGCTCGATCCTTCGATGCGCGGTGGGCCAGGCACTCTCGAAGAGAAACAGAGTGGCGGCCGCCTCAATCCAGTCGAGAGGCTGGGGTGCGATTTCGTGCAAAAGCGCGGGATCAGTGCCAGTCCAGCGGCAGGGGATCCTTCTGCATCTTCGTCAGCGGCGGGGGGGGGCCGCTGCGCGACGCGATTCTTCTGTGCCTGGAAGCTCGGACAGAGGTCGTTCACTTTGGGCACAGTTGCACGACGCCAGGTCCTCGATGTCAGCAATTGCAAGACCGAGCGACCAAGGTGGCCCATCTGCCAAGGCAGCGATGCCTAGCGCATCGGACCTCACGGCAGGCATGGGCCCATTCGGACACAAGAGGGCCTCCTCGAAACCTGCGTCAGACGATCGTCCTCCGAAAAGCGGCCGCGCTCAGTCGGCTCAGCCTATCGGTGCTGGATCATCGGGGCTCTATGCTCACCTAACGTCCAGTTGCTCGAGTGACACATGGCCTTCCGCGCTTAGAGATGGCCGACAAGGGGCGGCATCGTCCTCTGTGCCTGTTGCGGCGGCGAAGGCTGCTGCGAAACCGTCCTCCGCCACGCCAATGCCGCGGGGCGCGCGGTTGAGCGGTGGATATGCAGATCAGGAATGGGGAGAATGGCGCGCGTGGCAACGGCTTGGGGGCATTGACAACTTTCCCAAGGCCGTGCTGTTCATTGTGCCAAAGCACCAGGCCCGCCTCCTGGGGCGCGTACGTCATGCCAGCGCGATCCTTGGACATGGCAGCCTCCGATTGCTCTCCTACAGCGGGCAGACAGCGGAGGTGGCGTGCCGACGAGCGCACGCCGCCACGTTTCGCCGCGACCCACGTCCGCGCAGGCGCGTCGGACCAGCAACCAGCCAGGTCGTGACCCTGCGTGGCGCAGCAACCAGGTTGCTGCCTGCCGCGAGGCAACTTCGCGCACCCCTGGCACTGGTCGTCAGATGCCATCCGCGAAGCAGAGCTGAACCTGCGGTGGTGAAGACCACTGCGTCTGCCTCTGCTTTGCTTGCTTGCCTTCCTCTTTCATTCCTTCCAATCCTTTTTGGCCAAGGGCCTCTGCGCCGAGGTGGGCGAGGGGCCCCTGAGTGGGCCATGGCAGACAACACTAACTCCCTTGTCCTGTAGAAGGCGCACAGGGGGAAGCGCATGCTGGGCGGCCAGCAGCTGCACCGCTGAGCGGTGGCCGAGCTGTGGCGCCTTCAGGCTTCTTCTTCCCAGTCTCCCGAGAAACATTGTTTGGGCCGTTTTTGTTTGGGGTCCCGGGTATTTTCCTCTTTCCTCTGGTGTCATTTTGCTCCTTTGGGGGTTGGCGGGCTCGGGAAACCTTGATCCCGTTGTCTCCTCTAGAGACGGCGGGGCGGGGTGCGTGTTTTCCCTCCGTTTCGGGCCTGCTTTTTCGGGGGCGTTTATTTTGCGTGGTAACCCCGCGCCTGCTTTGGGTCCATGGTCCTCTTTGGGGGTCTTGGGGTCTTCCCTTCGCCCTCCCCCCCCGCTTCGATCCACGACGGCGTCGGGCGTCGGTGGCACTTGAACGGCGGCGGCCTTTCGCCCGCCGCAGCATACTCGGCTCGCAGAGCGCGGGGGGGGGAACCCGCGCGCGTGGGGGGAAACGGCGGCGACGGCGACGACGTCGGCCTCCGCCTCTCTTCCTCGCTCGCCCCCTCTCGTTTGCTCTGCTTGCTTGTAGCAACGGAAACTTACTTATAACAACTTCCCTGGGACTGGAAAGCTCCAGGACCCGAACTCCCGCAACCAGGCCGCTTTCATGGGCGAGACTGGGGCGAAGGAGATCAGCCATCCGGCTGATCTCGCCACGTTCTCAATACCTCCCTAGCGAACTGCTTGCTTTTCGAACAAACGTGTTAAAACAACCAAGAGCCCTCGCCTGGAATTCGCTGATGGGGCACTCTTGGAGAAGCGCATAGTTGCAAGTGCTAAGAGTTAAAGGGTTCACCAAGGTTTTAGCTTCTTGGGCCATTTTAGATACCGCCTGAGCGCTCCGACGTGATCTTTTGTCAATGTTTGATGACCAGTTGTTTTTTCTGGAGGATTCTCCGAGCGAGTATGAGATCATCGATTTCAACATCTCAATTTTTATCATGGGGCCCTTTTGGCTGGGACCCGCGGCGTCGTGGTTTTTGAGCATGTCCTTAGCGAAGCTGCCATTTGCAAGCGTTGACAGGTACATCTTGGGATCCATTCCAGCTGGCCGGCGGGGCGGGCCGAAGCCTCCGGGGGATCCCTTTGGAAACGGACCAAAACCCAAACCGAAAGGCTTCAGCACCGTAGCCATTTTGGCTCAAAGCCGCCGCGACCCGCGGAGGCGCCGCGAGTGCGAGCCGCGCGGCTGCGGCCATGCTGGCCGCGGCCGGCGCGAGCCCGGGTGCGCCGCGGAGCGCGCGTTTGCCGGGGGCGGCCAATGCCGACGCAATCAGGCAGATCGACCTGGACATGCCGCGCGCCGCCGGCGGTGACCCACTGTTGTCTGCGCGGCTCAGCTGGGCGCGGGCCATGCTGCTGCGGCAGCTCGCGGGGGACGCGCGCTCCTCTGGTGGGCCAGGGCTGACCGGCGGAGGCAGTTCTTTTCCTTGGCAGAGGGCGCTGCGGGTCTTGCTGTTGGCGATGCTGCTGCTGCAGCCGGCAACTTCGCAGGCCTTGCGCGGCCGCGGTGTCATCAATGTTGGCGAGGAGCAGCAGGAACCGTTGATGGCCGATTCCGCGGTTCAGGTTCACATGAAAATGGCCGCGTCAAGCGTTGCGACAGTGGCGGCGGAGGAGAAGACCAGTTGCGACCCGACGGAGATGCCAGATTGGGCGACGGAAGCGTACGACAAGAGCAAGGATGTGCGGCTGACGCTTTTGAAAGGAATTACTGAGGATCTCGCACGGCAAAAGAAGAATGACGGGCTCCTGGCGTCCTGGCGAAGGTGGCGGCCGACCCCGAGCCAGAGGCGCGCGCGGCGGTGGCCGCAGGAGACGAAAAGCGAGGAGTGATACTCAGTTACGCCGTCGTGGTCTTTCCCGACGCGGGCCTGCCCGTGCTCGCGAAGCTGGCGGAGGACTCCGAGAAAGAGGTCCGCGCGGCGGTGGCGGGAGGAAGAGGGATGCAGAGGGGCTTCTGGAAAACGCCCGCCGAGACCTGGTCGGTGCTGGCGAAGCTGTCGGAAGACGCCGATGATGAGGTCCGCGAGGCAGCCAAGAAGGCCAGCGTTGCCGTGGCGTCCTGAGGCGCTCTGTGGAGAGCCGCCGTCGATTATCCCGACAAGGGCCTGCCCGTGCTCGCGAAGTTGGCAGAGGACTCCGAGAAGGAGGTCCGCGCGGCGGTGGCTGGAGGAGAAGCTCTGCGGTCTGCCGTCCAGAGCCATCCCGACAAGGGTCTGCCCGTGCTCGCGAAGCTGGCGGAGGACTCCGACAAGGAGGTCCAGGCGGCGGTGGCTGGAGGAGCGGCGTTGCTGCAGGCTCTCCTGCATGGCGACTGGTCGGTAATGGCGAAATTGGACGCGGACGCCGATCCGGAGGTCCGCGAGGCGGCCAGGAAGGGCCGCGTGGCTATGGCGTCAGGACAACCTCTGCTCACCGCCATCAGGAGCTGGCCGCCGACAAAGAGACTGAAGTCCGCGAGAAGGCGGCAGGAAAGCCTTTAGAGTATGCCCTCAACCAGAGGTTCGACAAGGCGGTGCCCCTGCTCAAGAAGCTGCTGGGCGATGGGAAGGGGGCTGTGCGCGTCGCGGCAGCTGGCAGCCCGCTGTGCAAATTCGCCCAGGAAGCGCCGATCGAAGAGGCGAAGGACCTCGTCGAACAGATGAAGCATGATAGAGATTCAGACGTACGCGAGGCAGCTCGCTGTGCTGCAGCGACGCTCGACGCCAAGACAGAGAAGGCCGAGGCCGAGTTGCAGGCGGAGATCGCCAACAACGAGACGGCCAAGGCAGCGGCTGCACATGCAGAAACCCAGAAGCAGTTGGACAAGGTTGAGAGGCTGCAATACATTATCGTGGTCATTTGCGTGGTGTCCCTGGTGAGCGTCGCGATGGCTTGGCACGGGCAGCGGATATTCGTCAGTTGCAGATCGCGGAGGCGAACCGCGCGCATAGAACGACATCTCCAGAGTGCCACAGCAAAAGCAAGTCCAACATCACACGACTTCTACTTTGTGCGCGCATCCAGGATCCGAACGTTCACGGGCGAGAGGCTGCCTCACCACCAGAAGTTGAGGTCCGAGGGATGGCTGTTCACAAAGAACTGGTCGCTGGGAGAGGCCATCCGCGGTGAGTATGAGAAAAACTACATCGTGATCTCGCACCGGTGGCATACGCCTGGCGACCCAGACCCGAAAGGACAGAAACTCAAGAAATTGAAGGAGTACCTCGAGAACAACCTGGAAGTAGAGTATGTGTGGTTCGACTGCTGGAGTCTCCGCCAGAAGTTCCCGAACGAGCCACGCTCCGAGGACGACGAGGTCGTCTTCAAGCTCGGCCTCAAGAACCGTCTTCAAGCTCGGCCTCAAGAACATCAATATGTTGTTCGCATCATCCAAGGTGCTCGTGTTCTTCGACCTGCAGTGCGTCGGCCGCTTTTGGACGTCCTACGAGCTCTGGCTCTCCCTGCGGACGATCACGGAGAATGGGCTGATGTCCACGCCAGAGGGTCAGCGCCGAGCGCACCTGATGTGTACGGGTGCTGCCAACCAGGCGGAGAATATCAACATCGAGGCGATGTACAAGACTTGGGCCGACAAGACTCCCGAGGAGGCGAGTGCCGTCTTGCGCGAGGATGATATCATCGTGACCAATCAGAGCGACAAGGATTTGCAGCTCACGGTCTTGGATGACCTCGCAAAGAACGCGGGCAGTCTCTACAAGCAGGCGGTGTCAGAAGCAGCAGTGCCACTGGCCCTCGAGATTGAGCAGTGATGAGGGAGTGGGCTGCAAGTAGCGCACCAACACCTGCTTCCGCGCGCACTCAAAAGGAGGACGAGGGGGTATAGGAGGGGCTGGGGGGAGGGGGGAGGGCTAGTCTGACGTTGCCCGCCGCCCGAGCTGTCGCTGGCGATCCCGACGCGGCCAGTCCCTCAGCATGGCGTGCGCCCTCGACAGTGCCGCTGCCGCTCCGCGCACGAAGCGCCTCGTCAGCGAGAGCTTGCCGATCCTGACCCCCCCCCTCCTGAGAATAACGAGCAAACATCTGTACGTTCCTGCAGTTCTCTGGCTATTCTCTTCCGATTTCGTCGTCGCACGTTTTTGCACGCCCATTCGAGAGGTGCATCTGTAGTGCCGCCTCCGCTCTGTGTGTGGCCGAGGTTATGTCATAGGAACTTGTCACATGTATTTCACTCTGGTTGGCAGTTTGTCTGCAGCAGCTTATATCTTATATACTTTGCGTGAGCTTTGAAGTTTGTGTGTATGTAAACTTGTGCTCTGGACCGCTCGGTTCCGCCATCCCGCAACTTTGCACTTTCATACGAGAGTTGCTTCAGCATTGCAACCTTTTCTCGGATTTCGGCCGAGCTCAGTAGCTGTCGGTTGGCCCGCGACAGTTCATGTCATGTGTACCGTTGTATGCTAATGTTGTCGCGGAAGCGCAGCAGCTCGGCGAGAGCAGTTCTTAGTCTGCTTGTGCAGCTGTTCGTCTGTTTGTTTTCTTTACTTGCTGGTGCCGTGCGCGGCCGGCGAGGCTCACTGAGCCATCGAGTTTGGTCGATGTCCGTGGAGGTCGGAGGCCTTTCATGCTATTTGACAGTTGTCTGCAGCAGGTTCTTGCTTCTGTAGTTTGTTCGTTCTTACATGTCCTATTTTGCCAGCGCGCGCTTTTGGGTTTGCGTGCGAGAGATAAAGCAACAGTGCCTCTTCCGCTCGGGAAGCTGGCCTCAGTTGTTTCTAGGAGGTCCCCGCCTGAAGTGTTTATCTGCGGCGACCTTAGAAAGCTGTGGTGTTTAGGACGAGTCCCAATTGGCCTATACACGCTCCAGCCATTCGAACTACTACTACCTAAGAAGACCGGGATTGCTGTGAGGCGCCGTGACAGATAAAAAGAGCGCGGAGGACCTGCCGTAATTCAAGTCATGTTTTGGGCGTCTCACCGCGTCCCTTAAGTTCTGCATTCAACTGCAGCGCGTGTGGCAATGATTCATTAATGGGTCGCATGCTCCGAGGCACGGGCCTGTGCATGCGCATAATTCAGCCACTTACGCTTCATTTCAAGTACTAAACTTTGTATGAATGCCGTCACTTGACTCGCTTCTTCCTTCTATGTGCGCCCGCGCGACCAGGCAGTGAGCTCCTCGGAGCTCCCCCGTTTTCGGGGTGGCCTGGCCAACCGTTCATATTTTTCTCTGAGCAGCTCGGTCGGTGACGTGCAGCCTTGCCATCGTGTCATCGGACATTCTCTGCTTACAAAAAAAAACGAAAGGCTTGAGCACGCAAGGCACCCCTATGATGAACCTTTGGCCAGCCCGCCACTGTGCCTGGGATGTGGGCCTGCGGCTTCGTGGATGTTCGATGATATTTGGCGGCGAGCCCCTCAGAGGACGCTTGGATGCAGGTTTGGTGCTTGATCGGGGCCGTTGTAGGTTTTTTTCGGATCCGTTTTGTGTTAATGTCGGGGCCGCCCAAGGTTTCTGCTTTGTGGTATTTGGGGCCGCTCAGGGTCCTTCGGGGTTTTCTTCGGGGCCTCGTGGGGCCTCTTGGGAGACGCGTTGGGTCTCGGGGTCCCCTTATATTTAGGTGCGCAGCTCAGATAAGCGACGGCTGTATTTGCGCTCAGCGCGAAACCCGTGCCTGACGTGGGCCTGAGGCTTGTGGCGAGTCCGAATGGATAGCGCGTGTCTCAGCGAACGCAGCGGAGCAGGGGAATGGAACGCAACAGCGAAACTTATGACGAGGGCGCACGTAGGTGTAAGGACGCAATCGCGAGCAGCGGAAGGGCTCTTGGGTGAATCCCTCGTAAGAGTCCCCCCAAGGGCTCCCAGCACAGACCCAAAAGGACCATGGGAGGTCCCCGGAAGTGCCCAAGATGGGTCCAAAGGGGGTTCCAGCGGGCCCAAGCTCCCCAAGACGGCCCAAAAAGGCCCCAGGACGGCCCATGAAGGCGCCAAAACGGCCCACGAGGGCCCCGAAAACACCCCCACGATGTTTCCGAATGCCAACATAGAGACCCCCAAGGCACCCCAAAAAGCTTTCCAAGGAGCCTTCAAACTACAAAAGCCGTCCCAACCCCTCAATAAAACTTGCAATATTAGCATGTTCTCCCTTCGGAGTTCATCAGCTTTCAAGACGATTTCAGAGTCCCCGAGATCGCCTCAAGACGCCCCAAAAAGCCTCCTAGAAAAGCTTCAAGACGGCCGAGCCGGGCCCCACGATCGCCCACGAGAGCCCCAAGACAATTCGTAATGAAACCAAACTGCCCCCCAAGGGCTCCCAGCACAGACCCAAAAGGGCCATGGGAGGTCCCCGGAAGTGCCCAAGATGGGTCCAAAGGGGGCTCCAGCGGGCCCAAGCTCCCCAAGACGGCCCAAGAAGGCTCCAGGACGACCCATGAAGGCGCCAAAACGGCCCACGAGGGCCCCGAAAACACCCCCACGATGTTTCCGAATGCCAACATTCATTGATTTTGCTCCCATGACATTTCAGATTGTGACCCAGTCGTTGAGGGTCTCGTGGCATGCAGCGAAGATGCCCGAGGATGCCCCGTACGAGTTGCATATGCATGTTCATACCCTTACACACATAAAGTTATATGTACATACGTACGCTGTATACACACAACAATGTAAGTATATTGTACACACCTGAAAAAATATACGGAACGTGCATGCACGTGCGCGTGTATACACGCATGCGCGTATGTACGCACGCACGCATTCCGCTTGCGTGCAGAACTCTAAGGACCAAGGTGCATGGCGCGCAGCGCCAATGCAGTCTTGTCTCTCTCTCTCTCTCTCTCTCTCTATATATGTGTAGATGTATATGTATATGTATGTGTAAATGTGTATCTATATATATATACATACACGTCCACGACGTGTGGACTTAGCGTTGCGGGTCCAGCTGCGGCCCCGGCCCCGGCGCCGCCCTTGGCGCGCTTCTGCGCGCCAGGGTAGGGGGTCCAGCCCCGGCCCGAGAAATGCGCGCGCACCCCAGGAAGTTGAAAGCGTGCTCGTGTAGTTTTCCTGTTGCTCGAATCTAGAATGTGCCTCTGGGTCATGCCTTGGCCCGCGAGCGGCCAATAAAGGCATCGGCGCCGCGGTTTCGACGCCCTGTTCTTGCCAGAGCTGCCCGAAAGAATCCCTTGCCTCCCCTCCTCCTGCCTCCTTGTCTCCTTTCCTCCTGCTTTTCCTGCTGGGGCCGCCGCGAACTGCGCGAATGTCGCGCCTTCCGTGGGTCCTTGGGAGGCATGGCGGAGTGGGTGATCGCGCAAGCCCAGCCGAGATTTCGCGGTGCCTTTTGGGGTGACAACTGCGCAGATGTCACCATGCTCGTGGGCTCCGGGGAGATCCAGCGGAGTGGGTTGTCACGCAGATCCTTCCGACATTTCGCGACACCCTAGGGGGTTGGCAGTTGCGCAACCGTCGCAATTTCCGTTAGGTTTTGGGAGGCCCAGCGGAGTGGGTTGCCACGCAGATCCAAAGCCGTCGCGGCTCCTTGGGGGTTGGCTGACAAGTGCGCAACTGTCGCCGTTTTCGTTGGCTTCTGGATGGCCCAGCGGGGTGTGTTGTCATTCAGATCCAGCCAAGCCCTCGCGGCTCCAGGGAGGGCTGGCAACTGCACAACCGTCGCCAGTTTCGTGGGGTCCTTGTAGGCCCAGCGGAGTAGGCTGTCACGCAGGTCCAGCCGAGGTCTCGCGGCCTCCCGGGGGGCTGGCAACTGCGCAACAATCGCCACCTTCGTGAGTTTTTGTTGGGGGGGCAGCGGAGTGAGGTCCAGCGGTCCTCTGCGGTGTTTTGTGCAATGTGCGAGCATCCACGTAGCCTTCGCAGTGACTCGCTTTCCTTGCCATGCTATTATCTGTGGTACTGGTCCATTAAGATGGTCAATCGTTGCAGATGGGTCTTGCACGTCGCAGGGTATGTCGTTGGTTATATGCGTTTATTGTTAGGCTTACGCCACACCACCGACCCCTTGAGGAACTGGTGGTTGCGGCGTGTTGTTCCTGAGGTCCTTTTGGGCGCCTTTTCGGAACTTCCTGGTGCCCTTTGGGGTGTTCCATGGGGGCCTATGGGGGCCGTCTTGGAATTTCGTGGAGGTTTCTTAGGGGCCTTGGGCGGCCGCTAGCTCGAAATGCAGGCTCGGGTTCCCGTTCAGGGCCGTTCTTGCGGCGGCCAAGGGGCGCTATTGTACCATGTTGGAGGCCTCTGAGGCCGTCTTTGGGGCCGTGTGAGGGCCATCTTTGCCAGTTTACGGGCCCTTTTGGAGGCCTCTGGGCCGTCCAGGGGGATCTTGGGAGCCTCTTGGGCCGTCGTGGAGGAAACCGAAAAGGCGAGACCGCTAACATCTCACATGATCGGATAGGAAATCAATGAACTTTCCCTTTCGGGGCCCTCTTGCTGGGGTCCTCTTGCGAGGGCTCTTGGAGCGTTTTGGGGACATTTTGGGCCGTCTGGAGACCGTCTTCGCCGTCCTGGAGGATCTTTCGGCGACTGGGGGCCCTCTTGAACCGTCTTGGGGTCCCCTTGGGGCCCTCTGGGCTCGTTGTGAGGCCTTCTGTCATCTCATGATGCGCTGGGGCAGATCTGGGGGATCTGGGCGGACCCCCCTCCCTCCAAATCGAGCCCACCGGGGTCCCTGGGGGAGGGGTCGGGAGAAGGGTATGCGTCTCACACGCTGATGGCACCCCAAGGGGGCGGGGGATTTGATTTCTGCAGCTGACATTTGCAGTGCTCGCCGTGCGCGCATAGGGGAACGGGCGAGAACCCACGTGCACTAACGGTGGGCATATGTTTATATACCAGAAGACTGATAATCGAATGGCCTTGGGCACATCCCGCCACCGTGCCTGGGCTGCGGATGTGAGGCGCGGATGGCAGACGGGGTCTCTTGGGAGAGGTCTCGAGGGCGTTTGGGAAGCAGTTTTGGGTGCCTCCTGGGCGACTCTTGGGGGCTTTGGGGGGGCCTCTCGGAGCTCCCTGGGAGCCTGTTGGAGGCTGCTTGGGGCAACCGGGCAACGTCCGTCCGGATTCCCCCTGTAGACCCCTTTTATCGGGCTGTCCTTGAGCCCCCCTGGGCCGTCTTGGGGGCTTCTTGAGCGGTCTTGGGGCCTTCTTGGGTCGTCTGAGAGCCCTCCAAGGGGCCTCTTGGGTCATCTTGGGGCGCCAGGAGGCTTCTTGGGTTGTCTTGAACGTGTGAACGCAGAAGAGGCGAGTGTACTAAAGCTGCACGCTTTCCCATGGGAATGGGACGATGTTTGCTCTTTGAGGCCGTCTTGGTACGTCTCTTGAGGGTTTCTTGGGGCGTCTGGGGGGCCTCGCGGGCCGTCTCGAGGCCAGCGCGGACGTTTTGGATCGATCTTGCCCTCTTGGACCGTCCGGAGGGCCTCTTGGTGCCCTCTTGGCCTGTTTTGGGGCCCTCTGTCCCCTGTGGAGCGATCCAGCCCTCCCCGGGGGACCCCCCCCCCAAAAGCGACCGGACCAGGCTCCAGGGGTGGTGGTTCGGGGAGGGGCTTGCGGAGGGGGAAACGCCTCGCACGCCGATGCACCCCAAGGCGTCGACCGATCTTCTGCCTCTGGGGGCCCCGACCGGCCTCCACTACTAGGCAGAAGACCCTCGCGAAGGTTCTCGCAGTGAGCAATGGTTCGGGGGGTGGACAGACCTCCTACCCTGACACGTCGATTAGCGAATTGGCCGCTTTTCGGTTTGCGAGAGGGCGCCGCGGCCGTCATTCTTGCGGGCCCAGGTCCGTCGGTTTCGATCCCTCGATCGTTTTCACTAAGGGGGAGGTCTACGAAAGGGAGGTTTGAGGTTTGTCCACCGCCGAATGGTACTCCAGATCTCGTAATAAAAGGGAGGGGGTCTGGACCCTCCAAGACAAGCCATTTCAGACCTACCCCGTGGGAGAACCCTCCAAAACATCGTCCCCAGACCCCCCAGGCCCTCCAAGATGGCCTGGAAGAGACCCCCCCCCGAAATGAGACCCCCCTCCCTCTTATTACGAAATCTGGAGTGGAAGAGAAGCGGCGCCCGAGGCCTGGGCCCCCGCCCCCCCCAGCGCGCCCGGCGCGCCTGCCCGGCCTGCTCGCTGTCCCCCCCGGGGGGGGGCCGGCCGGGGTCGGGCGGCCCAGGGGTCGGGAGGCACGGTCGCGCAAGCATCAAGCCAGTGGCGAAGCGTCTTGGCTCGCCTATGGCCCTACCAAACAATGTTCTAAGAACCTTTGGTGGTTTCCACAACATGTTCTTAGAACATGTCTGGTGGAGCCTGTCTTGTTTTACCACCTCGGGTTCATGTTCTAAGAACCTTGTTTTCCCCGACCTAGGCTCTGCCTAGAAGGGTTCTTACCGTCTAGCTTAAAGGGGCCGGGCAGTGGAACCCGCCCCGGGCGGTTCCCCCCGCATCCGCCCCGCGGTTCCCCCAGCTACGTCCCCTTAGCTTGGCGTTGCTTATCTCATCTTCGCTTAGCTTATTTCATCTTAGCGTAGCTTAGCTTCATATTATTAGTTCAGGTTTGTCTTAGCTTAGCTTACCTTCATCTTAGCTTCGCTGAGCTTTAGCATAGCAGAGCACAGCATAGCATAGCGTAGCATAGCATAGCGCAGCAAAGCATATCATAGCATAGCCAAGCATAGCATAGCATAGCGCAGCATAGCGCAGCATAGCATAGCATAGCATAGCATAGCGCAGCACAGCACAGCATAGCACAGCGTAGCATGGCATAGCATAGCATAGCATAGCTTAGCATATCATACCATATCATAGCATCGCATAACATTGTGCAGCATAGCATGGCATAGCATAGCTTAGCATAGCATAGCGCAGCATAGCATGGCATAGCATAGCATAGCATAGCATAACAACTAATGCTGCTTTCCTAGGGGCTCCAACTTCTAGGTAGGGTCGCACTGGGGTAATTTGTTCTTAGAACATTTTTGGGTTCTAAGAACACTTCGTGGTATGACTATAGGAATGCCGGGACGGTCGGTCCCTGCTCAAAGCAGGCGTCTCTCCCCCGGGGCGTCGGCCGCCAATCCCGACTGCGTTGGCCCCTCGGGGTGGCGGCGCTCGCGGTGGGGCGGTCGTGGCCCCAAGGGGCCTTTCACCGCACGAGCTGTACTCAGTATCGCTGAACCGGCCCCCATCCCCGTCATCATCCCCTTCGAGACCCCCACCGAATTACCACCCCAGTTGGGGATACACCCCTCGAAGCCCGAAGGGGAACGGCCTATATCCCCATCTAGGCAGGTAAATCGGCCAGTGGGGCCCAGGCCACGCCGCTGGGGATGGGGATCGGTTAAATGATGCTCACGTCCAGTGAGCAGTCCCCGATCCTTCGGAGGTTGCCTCAGCTGCCTCCAGCCCCTCCCGCAAGCTTGGGCCCCCCAGGCCTCGCAACCGGGGTTGCCGCAGGGGCCACGCGTAATTAGGCCTCCGTGGGGAACTGGGGTCGCTCTGGGCCAGCGTCGCCTCGCCCGACTCCTCCCTCGCACCGGGGAGGGTTCGGAAGGGTGGGTGCCCAGACATCCGACGTCGTGATTTTTGGCGCAGCGCGGCCCCCCAGACGTTTTGGGCCCCTTCCCCAGGACCGGTGCTTCATCCTGAGTCGCTTTGTGACGGCCCCTGGGCCCTGCAGTGAGGGCCCTGGCAGGCCGCAAACGGGGCACAACCTACCACTGTGATATCTTGCGCAGTGAGAGGACGTCGGTGTGCGGCGGCGGTCTCCTGCCAAGGGCCGTGCTGGCCCCGGCGGAGCAGAGCGCCTACAGGTTCCGCAGGCAGCCCGCGGAGGGCTGCCTGTCCACCCTCGAGGCCGTCGCCGAGGCGCTGCTGGCGCTGGAGGGCGCCCGCGGGCCGCTGCTGAAGGTCGGAGGAGAAGAGCAGAGCCGATACGGTCGGTTCGAAGTTCGAGGTTCGAGGTTCGAGGTTTGCGGTTTGCGGGCGTCCTCGTCGGCTCACGGAGACTTCCGAGCCACAGGATACTCTCCTATCAGCTGCGCCTCGCCGAGAGCGTTTCTGCGGCGCCGGGATCGCCACGAGCGGCCGCTGGTGAGCCGAGTTCTACAACCCGAAAACGAAGGGGCAAGGGCAGATCCGGCAGGCTCGTGCCGTGTTGACGCGGCGGCGACCCCGGCGCGGGCGTTCAATGTTGAAGTGCTGGGCCAGCGGCCTCGAGTCGGCCAACATGGAGCGACCTGACGACTGGAGAGCCGCCCGTCATTTCAAAGCTGACCGATCCACGCGGTGTCTGAATCCAGCGCCAGGATCCTCAGGACACGAACCCGCCGTAACGGTGGTCTTGTTGTCGCATTTTTGGGCCTCCCAGGGGGAAGTCCGTCGCCTCGGCCGGACTCGCCTCGGAATCTTGGTCAGAGCGCAGCCCAGGAGAGGTGCTGGGAACACATCTTTCTCAGCGTCGCCGTGAAGAAGCTGGGGTTCTCTCGGGTCGAGGGGCCCCGAGCCTGCAGTCACAGCGCATGGCAAGGACGAGCAAAACTCACCGGGGTCACCCCTGCGTCCTTGCTCCCTCGGCCCTTCGGCCCCTCCTGGGCAGCTCTCGCTCGCCGCGCCCCGCTCGAGAAGTGTCGGCATGGCCTTCCGGGGCCCTCTGTGTCCCCAGACACCCCCGGCCGTTCCCTGCGGGGCGTGGCCCCCCGAGGCCTGGGCGCCGCCTCTCTCGGAGCGGCCGCGCCTCGTCTCCCGCGCCGCCTCCCTGCCGCTCTCCCGAGGCCCCCGCGCGGGCCCGTGGAGGCCGCCGCCGGCCAAAACGAGACTGGCCGCTCCACTTCTGGTCGCAGCGTCGGCTGCATGGGTCCTTCTCGCGCCTCCTTTCGGGCCGGGCGAAAGGGGGTGATTGGGAAAGGGGGGGTTACGTAATCTGCTGCATGCAGCTGGTTTCGGCCCCACCGAGGGGCCCATTCCTCGATACATAGCCGCTTCCGGCGCCAGGAGGCGCCAATCAGCTACGTGAGCTGATTCTCAAACCCTCCCTTTGCTATCCCCCCCTTTTGCCCGACCCGAATGGGTCCTTCTCGCGCCTCCTTGTGCAGCGCTCCGGCTGTGCATGCGTGCATGCGTGGCTTTCGGGCCCCGACGGGCCCCTCCCCAGGGCCCGTCTGGGGGCCCTCCCCGCAGGAGAGTCTCTATGCAGGACGGCCGGGAGCCTACCCCAGCAGAAGCCTCCAGGTCCGGGACCCGTTGGGAGGGGGGGGGAGGGGGAGGCGGAGGCGGAGGAGGAAACAATAAACAACATAATGAGGAGGAAGCGGCGGAGGCGGAGGCGGAGGCGGAGGAGGAGGAGGAGGAGGAGGAGGAGGAGGAGAACGGGGAGGAGGAGGAGGAGGAGGAGGAGGAGGAGGAGGAGGAGGAGGAGGAAGAGGAGGTTCCGAATGACCCCCTCTGTTCCACACGGCAGCGACAGTGCCCAGGCTTCAGGTCACAGACCAAGACGTCCCTGGGCAGCAGCAGCAGTAGAAACAGCAGCAGCAGGAGAAAGAGGAGGGGGAGAGGAGGAAGAGGAGGAGGATGAAAGGGGGAAGAGGAGGATGTGGAGGAGGAGGAGGAGGAGGAGGAGGAGGAGGAGGAGGAGGAGGAGGAGGAGGAGGGGGGGAGGAGGACGATGAGGACGAGGAAGGAGAGGAGGAGGAGGAGGAGGAGGAGAAGGAGGAGGAGGACGAGGGAGGA